ATCCTCACCACTTAAAGTGATATTAAAGTCAAAAGGTTTTTAAGCTATTTCAAATGCTGATGAAATCACTTTCAATGGATGCTGCTCCTTGATCTTCAAAAATCTTCACTTCTTGCAAAATCAGCTGGTCCTCTGAGAACTGACCCCGACATCCTGTTTTAGTGGCTCCTTTCCATTGCAAGGCTCCTTAGGAGCTACGAGATTCATACAAAATAGGAGCTACCCTTGTGTGTGCGTGCGCTAGTGCTGTGTGTCTCCACAAACACAGCAAGGCCAGCCTATCCCCTCCTCTGAGCTAGTAGATGAAGAGTTGCAGGAGACTACTCTCTCCCTTGTGATCTTGTACTGGACAGGAAGTTCAGGAAAGCAAAGTTGAAGCTTTTTGGAACATGATGACTAAGTGCTTCAACAAAAGTGTAAAGAAATACTAAATGTAAAATGCTAAATCCGTGTTTTACAAAAAAACAACAACTGAAAAGTAGGCGGGGCACAATCAAAATTTATTTGGATTCAACTAAAAATGTCAGAAATATGTACAAATTACAAAAAAATGTTAGCTGTTCCACACAGAAATACAATATCGGTAAGGACGTATGAAAAGTGTTGAATGTGGAAAAACTGTTTGTACATGTGTAGGTTACTGACAACAAAGAGCAGATGTTTAAAAATGTCTTCCTGTATCATAATGTAAAGTGGATGAGCATTGAATTGGGAAGATGGCTATGCAATGATCTGCTCCGTTCACTGATCGTAACAAGCGTGACAAAAGAAATCTTTCATTGTAATGGCCGTATTTAGGGAAAACAATGTCAATTCAGAACTCAGTAGTTCAAACTTATATTTACGTCCGACTTTATTTCTTGCACCAGTGCGTGTGAGATTGTGTGTAATAAATATTTCCTTTCCATGTTCCAAAACATAGCTTATAAGTGACTGTGCTGTGCTTCGCTCTGTGAAAAAAATGTCATGGGGTAAACTTTTCATTCGATGAAGTTAAAGCAGAACTGCTGGCGGCTTTTTTTCGTAAACCGCAGCAAGGGTTAAGTGGTCATTTGTGTCTAGGTGCTAAAAAACAAAAAGTTATACTACCCTGATCCTCGGAGCTGGCTTGCTGCTAGGTCAGTCCTTGGAGCCTTCGCTGCAGCTAAGGTCTCATGAGTCATTACGTCATATACACAGTGTATAGGATATGAGGATGCTTTGGGACATTCCAACACAGAGGAGTAGAGAAGCTTCAGGGACCGGAGTAGCAGCCACCGGGCTCTGCGGTTCAGGCGAGTATAACTTTTCTTTTTAGCATCTAGACAAAAATGAGCACTTAGCCCATGCAATGGGTCTGCCCCTCAATGCAAGGATTAAGAACAAGTTTGCCCAGAGTCCTGCTTTGGACTGTAACACAATATGACCATTTTTAACTGACTGAAGCAGAAAGAACTCATGGAACCAAAACGACAATACGGTCTGCACTATATAGGCTGCCATTACGGAGCTCCTTCTGAACATGCTAGGTACCCGGCCCTCTCTGGCCTCCATACTAAGTCACTGACTTAGTATGAGAACTCCCACTTTGCATCTTGTTCTAGATCAGTGGCTCAAAAATAATGAAGCCAGAGGATCTGCTGCCTGGCAAATAACATTTTCAGGAAGAGGGGTCTGCAGTAGCAACCTTCCCATCACTCTCGCTGCAGGCTTGTGTTAAAGCTGAAGTCCAGGCTAAACAAATATCATGTAAATACAAGAGCCATGTGTATTCTATCTTGAATCTTGGTGTCTTTTATTTCTTTCTTTCACATCCATACAGAAATCCAACATCCAACCCCTGCAAACCGTCTCTGTTCAGAACATCCTGTAATACAGACTGGTCACTGCCACTCTCTCCCCTCGTGCAGGTTGACTGGTCTTGTATCCGGCTCCTGCTGCAAACAAACAGCCTGGACTGTAGTGCATAGACCTTCGTGCCCCGTCCACAGCTCTGCTTTCTGCTCAGGCTATGTATGTGCCGTGATGATGTCACCACTACCTTTACAAAGCTTTATAACAGCATTTCAATAACTTAATAATCGGCTAACTAATCGATTATGAAAATAATCGTTAGCTGCAGCTCTAAAACATACGGACTGGATTTATATCCTTTGCGTCTATTCAATATATTTGCATTAATGTTCCTGTGACATGGGATTTTCTAAACATACTAGCTGTCTGATTTTCATAATCATCCTTAAGCTTCACAACTACAAAAACCTAATAACAGCATCCACGCGGCTCGTCATAAACAGATGTTAGAAAAACAGAAGATGCAATTACAGCATGAAAAAAAGATTTCCCTGTTTTCTGACTTCCATTTATAAGCTCTACGTGTGCTCGGTGTTACATGGAGAATTAGGACTCCGATGGTTGTGTGTGCCTAGCCTTATATCTGCGCTAATATCAGTAATATGACTAGGCTAGAGCTACGAGTGATTTCAAGTAGCTTAATTGTGCTACTAAAATGTCTGGCGATTACTAAACAGATGGAACAAAATTGCTCGCTATGGTATAAACTACAAGTAGCCAATAGAAAATCTCCAGCAATCAGCCGCACAAACACAGACGCAAGTCAAATCCAAAATCCAATGTCTACACCACCACCGATCTCTCCCACACCGATGCCCCTCACACGTTTCACAGCCTGGGCTTAATCAGAGACCTCTATGTTTAAGACCAGGTGGTGAAACGCGCGAGTAGCGTCGGTGTGGGAGAGCTCTATGGTGGTGTACACATTAAACTTTGGATTTGATTTTGGATTCATTTCAATACGTTTTTGGATTTGACCTACGTCGGTTTTTGTGCTGCTGATTTCTGGAGATTGGTCTGAGAGCACACTACAGCCTGCACCCAGTGTATGTATTGACTGCAGCCAAAGATGGAACTGGAGCGGTGAGTTACAGAGCTTTTGGAAAATTAGCCAATAGTAACAGTTACTGTCACATGATCACTCAATGCTCCGATTACTACTATAGGCTACTTGTGTAGATCACACCATAGCAAACCATTTGTGCCAGCTGTTATCCGTTTGGTAATCTTGGGTAATGAGTTACTAAAAATCAAATGTGTATCTTTAGTCCTTGGTGTATTCTTGGGAATGTACTGAAGGCTAAAGATACAAAATGGCATCTCACCTGTGGGAAGACCTGAATGGGAGTGTGGCTTCTGCAATAAATGTGACGGACAAAGACCTTGCTTTGTAGATTATTCTGTGCTTCTGACATTAAAGCTGAAGTTTTTTTGTTATACAACCCCAGGGATATAATATTATTAATAATAATAAGTGTCCCATGTCCTAGTAACTGCTGCTTATTGTACAGATGCTCCCACCAGTACCCCCGGATACCCTCCCCCCCCTCTAGCACCGATCTTTTGGTGCTGTGAGGGTTAACAGAAGTCACTGCAAGTGTGAAAATGTCTGTACAAGTTGCGACACTCGCTCGCCCCCTTCCTCCTCTTTCCTTTATTCATAAAAGCTCTACGGTTAATTCCCACAATGCAATGCGACCTGTCATTGGAGGAGGTGGATTCTGTCATTTAATTTTAGCACACTTTGTACTGTGGGGAAAAAAATCGTAATAGTACAACTTCTATGAATGGAGGAAAGAGGAGGAAGGGGCGGGCGAGTGGCACAATTCAACTTATAGACTCATTTACAAAGGCAGTGGCTCCTGTTAACCCCCCACAGCAGCTGAAGATCAGCACGGTAGGGAAAGTCCAGTAGCACTCCCGTTAGGATTTCTACAATAGGCTGCCAGGACATGGGTAATCCCCAAATGGAGGTAAATTATGTCACTTGGGGTGCATAACAAGAATAAAATGTAACTTAACTTCATTTCTGAAGGACCTGTGTCAACCGGCTTTCTTTTCTACTTGAAGCGGGTTCTGTATTCCCATACAAAGTGGATTCGGCCCGCGGGCCTTGTGTTTGCCACCCCTGGTCTATGGGAATGCAAAACCCGACTGACGCAGGCAATATGCAAGGAGGTCAAATGCACCCGTCAATGAATTCTAAAGGATCTGAAACAAATATCAATTGACACAAACCCAAACCTTTTTAACACGGGCCTTCATGAAGAGCCATGAAATACTTTTTTCCGGTCTGAATAAATAAAAGTTCACATAGGAACCTGGCACTTTCATTAATGACAACCCCTATGATTGTGTGAAAGTTTAACACCTGAGATGATAGCATTACAAACACCTCGATGATGGGCCGTGATCTTTCAGAAAGTCTGAATAGTGTTTGAACTGTAAAATAAAAATGATAAAGAAATTAGGGATGCACCGATACCAAGTATCGTACTCGGTACAAGTACTTTTCCAGCTCCGGGACTAGACTAGAGAAAAATTCAAAAGTTAAGAGGCCGCTGTCATTTGTAAGGAGCATACGGAGCGCCTGGGATTTGTACATCCATGTTGTTCAATGCATGATTTATATGATATAGATATATATCTATGTAGATATATCTATCCATCTATATATATCTATATATATATATATATCTATATATCTATATTACACACATACACAGTTACCCTTTTTTTCACATACAAGTACTGATACTTGTCCAAGTACTCACACATACAGGTACTGATACATTTTTGTTTATTGCCATGTGGCAGTTTTTCTAAAACAATACAGACTAATGATTTAAGGACAGTGGTGGAGCGCCTGAGCCAGGTCCCAGCTGCAACCCTGCTAGTTCTCATGAAAATGCCAAGTATCGGCACTGGTATCGGTGCATCCCTAAAAGAAATGCTTTAGAATATCAGGGATCTTATATCACCCAGTGCTAATCACAGTGTACATGATCTTCTTTGTTTCAAACAGCTGTGCATTCAGTCAGAAAAAGTGCTTGCAATATTTGGGAATTCCTCAAACGGGGAAAATGCTGCATGTACTAAACCTGCATTCAGAGTCAACATTTTGATAACTAGAAATGTGCAAAAAAATAATCTTTAACTTTTATCATATTGAGATTCACTACAAATGAGCAACAGTCTACTTTTAGGTGTCAGAAAATGTCCTGTCTTCCCTAACTGTATCTGTTTTCATTAAAGCACCAAGGAGGAACCCATGATGTCAGTAGCTATTACAATTAAAAACAAAAAGTGTATATGTGCAAATGTGGAGGATTTCAAATCATGGAATTGTATGCTTGCTCAATGCATGTATACTCAGTTGTTCTGTACCTTGTAGACTGTACATCAGAACTGGTTTAAAACAGACTCCAGGAACCATTAGGAAATCTAACAGTGTGGAGAAGAAATACTGAAGTGTGTCAACAATAGGGAGGTATGCAGAGTTCAGACAATCTACACATTAGATTTAGGAGCGGAGTTTAGAGGAATCTCATTGAGTTCAGTCCGCAGGCAGAGGTATTCCCCAATTACTGCCATTAAGCCAATGCACACAATGTTCAGTAGCCACCACGTGATTGTGCTGGGAAGCTGGGCGTTATAAATCCAACATCCAAAGAAATGAAAGAGGTGAACAGTCACAGTAAAATCTAAGCACTGCTTTCCTCTGCGGATAAAGTACAGCAGGCCCAGGGCGCACGTTAAGGAGTTCAGAATGAAAGCCATCATAGAGACTCTCCCATGTACTGAAGAAAATCCTAAACTCTCATAAAGAAATATCTGGTCAAGTGTAGGATTATAGCGAATCAGCAAGTCCACAGAGGCAATCCAAAGGCCTAGTGAGGTGTAGTAGATGAACTGCATCAGCACTATCTGGGAGGTGATCAAGATCGGATCCCACACGTAGCTTCGGAACTGTCCAGCCATTCTCATGGTAAATTCTTTCAGCTATCATACACAGATGGGCATCCAGGGACGAGTATTGCTGTGGGGCAGAGGAGATATGAACATATTAACGTTCTGAAAGCGCTGAGCATGCATCAAAGTAAAAGTTAAAGAAATTAGTTCACATGACATTTCTAATTACTGAGCTAAAACAAAATCTAAAAATACAGATTTGTATGACCCGCATACAAATGGATTCACTCTTTAGAGGAAAGGATTGCAGGCTCATAGCTGCACATATATGAACTCCGATAACCACAGATATATGAACATTTGAAAAAATAAAAAGTCATTTGGTAATATCAAGGTTTGAAACAAAAAGCGGAAATGCCTTCAGGCCAGCCAGTGTGCACTAGACACATAATTAGAGCATTGCTAGATAACTAGACACTCATGACAACCACTTCAAGGATTGGTGCTAGAAGCATAAAAGAAATGACCGAGTTCTGTTAAGCCCATGGGACCCCCACACAAAGTAAATGTGGATGCACAACATTTTCCAAGCTGTTTCCTAGTGCTTGTCCTCCGATTCCATAACCGAGGGCTTGTTGGGTCTACTGCTAACAAGAAATATATGGAAGCTCAATCTCCAACTTAAGGGGACTGGAGCTCTACGTCTATTTAAAGCAGAAGTAAAGTGTTATTTGCACAGCATACTAGCACATTAAGACCGGCCTACCCTGTAAGCGAAGCAATCCCCTCCAGCAATGCATGCTGTCTGAGCTCCCCTTACATCGCCGTCACTTCAATCTTCACCCGATCTTTGGCCTCTTGATTGGCTAAAAAAGTCATTGCAGTAAGTGCTGCAAAAGGGGCCCAAACCAAGTACTGAGTACATATGCATGCTTGTACTTTTCAGAGGTCCGATATTGTTCTATGTACAATCCTTGTTTTATTGATTGCATGTAATAATCTACTTTTTTGAGGTTGTGGATTTGGGGTTCTTGGGGTTTTCATGAGCTGTAAGCCATAATCATCACAATTATGACAAATCACGGCTTGAATTATCTTGCTTTGCATGTAATGAGTCTATCTCATATATTAGTTTCACCGCATAAGTTGCATTATTGAAATAAATCAATTATGCACGATATTCTAATTATTCGAGTTTCACCTGTATATGCACAGAAGTTACTTCATTTCAGCACAGGACCTTGCCGAGTCTGTCCACTGAGCTGCATGCGCAGCTCAGTGCACAGAGAAACAAAATAAAACTGCTAACAGGCAGGTAGAAGTTTGTTGTTTTCTTTTTGCAGAAGAGACTTACAAATGTAAAATAAATGCCTTCTTATTCCCTTTAGGTAGACCTGTACTGCTTACAGCACATATTGCATCTTAGAGCTGCAATAACTCCACATTGTTTATAAAAAAAGATCCCTTTTATTTGGTTATATATTCAAAGTGAAATTTCAATCAGATCACTGAAATACAGTACATAAATGTGATCAATTCTGTGAATTTGTGATTTATACAACTCTGCCGCACAGCAAAGCCATGAGTGGCGACATCCCTTTCACTGTTACAGAATACAACTGTGTCACTTTCCAGAATGCTGACTGGACAAAAGAAAAACAAACAGCACACTAATGAGGTCATTCTGTGCGCTTCCTTCCTTCCTGCAAGCATGTTCACAGGGCTAGACTGACAGAGTTGTCCGAGTTCCTATGGTGAACATGATCATTACATACGCTAACCGAATACAGTTAACAGCATACAATAATTTATGTGATTGCAATCCTTTAAAGTTAGTTTGAGGACAAATGGACATTATGTACTTTAAATTATAAAGACTATCAGACATTACTTTCTATCTGCTACAACTGTCGCTGCATAAAGTAGACTTTAAAACCCTTGCTGGTTTAAATACAAACTCACCTGACTTGAAGCTTATCCTACGAACACATCTGCATCACATGTAACAGACCTTTAAATAGAAAAACACAAAAATAAATTATAGAGGCTATAAAAACAGATAGTTCTCGTGCAGCAAGCATAGCAACACACACAAGTAATGGGAAGTACATAAGGGTTATCATGATGCATAAAAACAGATTAAAGACAAACTTTAAAGCCTAAACTACATACAAGTATGGTGTAAATATACCAATGTATGAAACAACGACCATTATTACTACAAAACTGAACGTTTTATTTAGGATTTCACAATGGTTCTGTCTTTTTTTAGGTAGGCTTTCTAAATGTAATTTTTATTTATAAAATGATATCACTGCAATATCTCAGGAGCCCATGAATACTGGCATCTCTTCCCTAGTGCAACTGTAGACACTCTGCTCCATAAGAAACAATGAAAGACTATTATAAAGAAGGTGTCAGTACCCATTAGTATTGCATAAAATATTGGAAACCCTGGAAAAGCTACGTTGTATGTTAAGCTGGATCCAGACCTCGGAAATGTGTCTTAGGCCTGGTTCACACCTGAACGTTATGTAGCACGTTCAACGCTCGACGAACGCTCAAACATCTAAATTCCATTGTATTCTATGGGTCTGGTTCACATCGTGCCGTATTTCCGCCCGTCCGAACGCGATACAAAACGGCCTACGCCCAAAGAAGTACATGTAATTCTTTGGGGCGTTTTGGTCTCGCGTTTCACTGATGTCGGGAGCTGCAGTGAGACACGTCTGCTCAGTCTCACATCCCGGCCATGCCCCCGTCGCGTGTTTTTTTTACCGCGAATCGCGCATATTCAATACGCCTAGGTGTGAACCCAGCCTAAGAATACTGATATAACTGACCTTTGTGAGAAATGCAGAAAAGGCAAAAGCAACAGCACCATAGTAGAAGCGGAACTGCCTTGTGGTGACTATAAATGAAATGACTGTTGCACAATACCTGTGATTTAGACATACCCAGATGACAGTCTATTGCACATCTTCTTAAAGTGACACTAAACTCAAGAATTAAATCTTAAAAATACATTCAAGCACCTCAACTATTAACATAAATGTATCTTATTTGTGTATCCCTCAGCTGTAGATCCTCCAATCATCTCTGAATTGGTGCTGACACTGTCCTTCCTTCTGCAGGTGGCTACTTTTGTTCCCCATGGTCCCCGTGTGTGTTGTAAAGTAGTCACAACACTCCAAGCTCACTCCTGTGGTGGACTACCATCTCATGTTTAGTTTACTAATTTGTATTGAGATTGTAGTCCATCACAGGAGCAAGCTTGGAGTGGTGGCTACTTGTGTCATGTCATTTTCAATCCGGCAGGTCAGCTTGCGAGAACTCTCATAGCTAAGCGTACCAAGATTAAAAATGTCATCTTCAGTCAAATTGGCTTGCGCGTATAAACCCGTGTCACGATGCGAAGTCCATTCGGTTCTTACGCGCGCGCAGATTGGCTGAAGATGCCGCCTTCCATCTGGCCGCACTCAGCTCACACACTGCATTCGAAGCTCCGTGCCTCACAGCTTTGCTCCGCACGGCATCGCATGCAGCGTCTCATGGGCTTTAGGCCCCATACACACCAGGGCGTTTCGTTTGCGTGATTTTTTTCCACGCTGAAATGCATACAACTAAAAATCCCATATATTCCTGAGGGGGCCGATCACATACCAATATGCCCATTGTTTAAAATAGTCCACGAGTTTCTATTGTGCTGCTTATCAGCTCGTTTTGCTCTATAGACTTCAATAGAATTGCGCCAAATCAGCAAATTTTTGTGCTTTTTCGCGTTTCTGCAATTGAGACTGCTTTGCATTGGACAACTGAAAACGAGCCTTAAAACGTTGTAACGTATGAAAAGAAAACGCCTGTAACACGCAACGAATGTGCGGAAAAAATGCTCGTCCTGGTGCGAAGTCTAGGCAAGTTTTCATTTACATATATTCCTGACTAGCCATAAAGGATAGACAGCGAAGGACCTTACAAACCCAGATGAACAGGGGCAGTGATACCATCACTGTGCTGTACATATCAACCCACTACAGGAGGGGGCAGAGACAAGACCAGTCACCCTTCTCAGGGAGAGAGAGCAGCGGTGACTGGTCTTTATTACAGGAAGCTCTTTTCACACTGGATCACTGCACAGATCTGGAAGAAACACACAGAGAACACCAACATTCCAGTAAGAACACACACGGCTCTTGGATTCACACAATATTCACTTATCCCAGACTTCAGCTTTAAAGCCTCAGTCTCGGCAGCCCACATGACCAGCAGTCTGTAAAAAACATTGTTATCCAAAACAAAAACCCATTAAAGCAGAACTAAAGCCAGGTTTCTTCAGCTTTGAATAGAGCGGAGAGGGAATTAAACACCGGCCATACTTCACGCTAGGGAGATTTACCCTCTCTGTCTTGGTGACCATTAACAAGACCAAGAGTGAAAGAAAACCCCAAATGTGGAGCTCTCAACAGAACAGGTGAAGAGGGGAAATCCTCCAATGAGAACACTAGTTCTCGTGACAATATTGGCCTTCTCACTTCAGAGTGATTTCCTCCCACTTCCTATTGTGACCATGGGGCAGGAAGTGAAGAGGAATTTCCCTAATGGGACACAGATGGTAAACAAAATCTGCTGGGTGTTATGAGTCACTCTATCCACATCGACAAAAACGTTAGTCTTCAGTTCCACTATAACCTGACATCCCCCAAGGAAGGCTGGTGAAAGCCTCTACAGAGCACTACAGCCAAACACATGAACAACTATACTGAACTTCCCTTCTTATCCTGGAAGTCCTTTATGTTCATAGGAGCTCATGAAAGGGAATCTATAAAAACTGGAGCAGACAAAATCTGGAGCATTGTTTCATTGTCCAATCTTAACTGGGAAGCTGATTGGTTGCCATGGGTAATTGCTCCAGATTTCGATAAATTCCCCCATTGTCTTCTTTTGCCTAATAATGACACCAATGATCCTCAGATCACTACACGAGCTTCCTGACAAATAATGTTGGGTTCCAGGCAGATGAGCCATCATAGCTGAGCCATATTCCTTACTCTGAAGTACATTGGAGACCCCAGCACAAGGGCCGCAAAGCTGGTCGGGAAGCTGACAGGATGACTTGAGACTTGTGGGGCTCCACAGGTGGTCACGACAAGCCAGGAGTCGAAACAAGAGTCGAACAAATCCCCGCCCCCTACGTCCATCGGCTCCCCTCCTGGTACTTACTGCATTGTCGCTGCGTACACCCCGACCTCCCCTTTCACCATTAGCAGCAGCCTTCACCGAGCGCAGCATCATACCGGCCCAGCCATTGCGTCACATCCGGTCTACTACTATGCCACGGGGAAGACGTTTCGGATATTACGTCATCCGGGGAAATTTACACATTGCGGCAGCTGTTACTCCCGTAAGTTTATTAACTTAAAATACCTCTAAATTGCATGGCAGGTAATACATTTCTGGGTGTTCGGAAGGCATATGCCTAAAATTTCTACCCTTCGACAAAGTCGGTGTAAAGGCTAAGCAACAATGTGCAGGTACACGGAAGTGACGTCATCTAACGCTACGTGACCCGAAGACTGGCAAGCGCTCCTGACAGCTGCCCCTCTTCCGCCCTCTGCTTGCTCCACTTCCGCCTTTGCCTGCGCAGCGAATTCTCCTTCCAGCTCGCACGGCCGGGCCGCGGTGGATGCCGGGAAGGCGGATCCGGGAGAAGGAGGGGGAGGAGGTTGTGTGTTGTGGACTCTTCCGTGAGCCCAGGGGTTACCCGGAGGATTAGGAAGTGGAGTTCCCCGTACTGACCGGCGGATCGGAGACACTTGAGGGATCGACATGAGCGGCACCCCCGAGCTGTGCGGCCCGGGAGAAGGGGACAAGGTGAGGTGACAGGCCGGAGTGTGTGCTTATTCATCCCATCTGGGGGTTATGGTAGAACAGGACAACCCTCTGCCCTCAAGGTAAGGCGGAACTACAAGTCCCAAGCAGCAGAGCAGAAATATCAGCTGCACATAGCAGCATAGGAAGGATGGGGTTAAGTTGTGTTTGTGAGTCACTAAGCAGCAGATCAGACAAGTGCTGGGTACCCTATACACGATCAGACATCTCCCAGCCTGGAGTCAGAGACCTGCAGATAATACACAGGTGAAAAGTTCCCGTCCAGGAAGGAATGGATCCATTTCTGAAAAACAAAACTTGTGACTTGCAGAAGCCAGCAGGTCAGAGCCAGGTCAACAGCCATCTTGGCTCCAGTCTATTAAAGGGACCTGTCAGGAAAGCAATAAGGCAACTGCTGACACTGACTTGTTTTTTTTTTTTTTAAAGGTGTATGCTCTAAGCTGTCATCATTATCCTTCCACCATCACTTGATGAGTCACTGACCAGGAACAGGCATGTACACTTCCTGAAACCTGATATGGTCAAGCTTATTCCACGTCACTGATGTACCTGGTAGTGAAGGAAGGATTAAAGGAGAACTGTGGGGTTAAGTCTTTTCCCCATAGTTCTCCTTAGGGTAACGGGAGGACACAAACTAGCGTCCTCCCGTCACCCTAGGCTCGCGGTATACTGAGACGCCGCAGCTGAAGCGGATCCCGACAATTGTGCCGTGATCTGCCTAGCTGCGTGGCTGACAGCTGGCGGATCGGAGCGGGGAGGGGGAATCCAGCCCCTCCCCCTGTCACGGCAGAGAGCTGTGACAGGATGGAGAGGTGAGCGAACGCCGATATGTGTTCGCTCACCTCCCGATCTACTGAGCCGACCTGTGACAGTCTCATTGTCACAGGTCGGCTAGAACTATGAGGTGAGTGAAAGCACTCACCTCATAGTTCTCCTTTAAGATAACAGTCCTGGATTTGCACTGCAGAGATCAGGGGTAGGCAACCTTGGCATGCCAGCGGTGTGGATACTACAAATCCCATCATGCTTCTGCCTCTGGGAGTCAGGCCTGTGGCTGTTAGAGTCTTGCAGTGCCTCCATGGGATTTGTAGTTTCACCACAGCT